ACACGTAGCAACAAATCTAACGACTTTTTGGACAAATCTTGGCTACTTAGAACAGACTGGCTTGGATGTTAACATGTAGTCTAAATTGGTCTTGTTATAGTCACTATTTCAAACTTGTTCTGTTGTCTGACAACAGAAAGAAAAACATGTGAACGAGAAGAGCTTCATTGGAAATTCGGCTGTATTAAAACACTGTATATGTGAGCACAGAGAGTAGGAGAGAAGCAAACAGATAAAGGTCTGAAACAAGGCTGACATGAGGCAGAATGCAAATAGGATGAAATGATGTTTATTTGTTGTTTAAGCCCAGCAATTCAACATCAGTTTTTTCAGAGCTAGCGTATCTCCTCATTCGGACATTGAATCTTATAACGCACAGACTCCAAACGAGGATTCGGACATGCTACGGCTTATAGGTGAGCGGATTAGAGTTCGGTGGCGTCCTTTGCCTCAGGTGATAGCTTACAGGTCCTCGACATTCTTTTGTGCATTAGAGATTTCTTAGCATGTCATGGTTTACTCATATTCAGTGCCAAGTTGGTAGGCCCTCATGTACCGTGTGAAATCAGACCAATATGAACACTACAAGACTGCCGCCATAATGAGGTGGAATCATAATTTGACCTGAGTCTGTGCTGCAGGTCTGGTACTCATTGAAGATTATGTTGTCGAGACGACCACTAATGCAAGTAAATAGGTTACAAATGGCTCAGCCCAACCAGTGACCTTCCAACACAAGTTGGAGAGTCAGGAAGCCGAGGAGGGAGCCGGCGTTTACTCTGCTAGTTGTGAGCTCTCTAAACTGGAGTCCCAGTGGAGTGAAGAAGGGGAGCCAGGTCCTGAAGTCTGGATGAAATACCAGATTGAAGCAGAAAGCCTCTGTGATGAACTCCTGATCAACAAGAGTGGTGCCAGAAGACAGTGGAGACTACAGCTGTGTGTGTGGAGACCAGAAGACCACAGCCAGCCTCAAGATCAAGGGTAGGAAGAGGATTTTAAATAGTCAGTTAGAGTAACATTTCTAAGAACAACTTTTTTCTACAACATATTTAGACATGTTTGACATGGCTTCAGAGCTTTGCAAATTATCCATGTTTGCCTTTTATGGTTGTTTGTGTACCGATTCTTATATAAACATTTTAAATATTTTTTTTATGGCATGCCATCGTGCTACCAACTAACAAATGCTCAGCCAATACGTGACCATAGTAAACATACATGATAGGCAAAGTCTTAGGAAACTGGGAGGCCGACGTTTACTCTCGCACAACATACTGGGGAAGGACAGAGAAGCAGCTAAAGGGCTGCCAGCAAACGTTCTCCCTCCTGGCAAGTAACAAGGAGGAGGATTCAGGGGGAGAAACTGTGTCCTCGACTAGGCATCAGGCGCTGTAGGAACAGCTTTAGCCAGGGAAGTGGAACTAATCTTAATTATTTATTGTTCGTAATGGAGGCCAGGAAGCCTGAGGAGGGGTATGTTCATTAAGTGTTTTTATTAATTTTGTACATTATCAACGAAGAGCTAATGGACACATGGATTTCCCCATAGGGGAATATATTAAATATCTATCTACTATCTATATCATATATCTTCTATCTAGTCTATCTATGCTACTATCTATCTCTTCTCATCTATTCTATCTATTCTACTTCTATTCTATCTTATCTATCTGATCTATCATATCTATCTGATCAATCTATACCTCAAATCTCTATATCTTTGGTCACTGTTAGTCTGTGATACTTTGAGAGGATCTGAAGAGGAGCTGAGTAGTGCACTTAGTGATGTAGTTCTTGATACTTACAGTCTTTGGTACTGTAGTGGCCTGTGTCTTCGTATAAGTCTGACAGTCCTTTAGTATTTAGTCTCTCTGGATCTGCCGCACATGTCTTTATCTTTAGTCCTGTAGTCTGTAGTGCTTTAGTCTAGTCTGTAGTCTTAGTCCGTTTGGTCTGTAGATCTTGGAGTCTTTAGGTCTGAGGTCATTGTATACTTTGTCTGTAGTCGCTCACGTCTTAGTTATTTAATCTTTGGTGGGTCTTTAGTGCTGTTAGTCGTAGTCTTGTAGTAACTTTAGTAGTAGTTCCTTTGGTCTGTACGTCCCTTTGGTCTTCTGGACTCAGAACCAGAAGTAGGGTAAAAACCTGTATCATTGTTTTTTTGTACTGCTTTCGACTAAAAGAAACGTGACGTGACCACAAGCTTCTGGTGTGTGCTGTTAATACTTTGAATAAAAACCTGTGATCAGCTGATTGTCTCTGTTAAACAAACAACCACAACATAATAACTAGAGATGGCGGTTCGCTCGAGCGGCAGTTTTTGTGGTGTTTAGGTGGTGCGTGTGTTTGTGTCGTCTGTCCTGAAACTGCGGTGCCAGGTCCTGCGCATCAAGACACTCGAACTTCAGTCTGTGACTGAGTTTCTCCGCTCCCTTCGCTCTTCTTGCTGAAGTTCGCCTCCCTCAAATATGAGTCCCCCTCAGTCCTACTGCTCAGTGTCCGGCTCCTCAGCAAATTGTCCAACATATTAGAGCCAATGTTCAGTGGGTGGCTCTCATATGAAGAAACTGTGAACAACTAGATGTGATCGTTGGGCTGGAGTCAGATTCTTTCTTTAACCTCTGAGGAAAGTGAAGATCATTGCTATTCTTCATCTGTTTGATCTTACTCAGAAGACAATGCATAGGTCAAGTATGTGTCCGACGCTGTCCTTACTTCCACATTGCAATTAGGCACCGCAGAAGAACCATCACACCCAGAATAAGGGAACAGGAGGAGACGGGAGATGTGTCACGCTCCATGTGGGTTTGATTGGATTGTGTGTGGTGGTGCTAATCAGAGCTCTCAGGGAGTATGTACAAAAACACAGTTAATACACAACCTCTGCTATGATCAAACTGAAAGCTAATCATCGTCATGCGGTAAGGAAAAGATAAGAGTCATGCTATACATCTGTGTAACCCGTGTTTTTGTCCTCTGGCGAGTGACACATCCGGTCTGGTACTAACCTGCGTTCTTAACACCTCACATCCAGTCTATCATAACCTCTCAATGATATTGCCGAAGACCTAATTATATATGAGGGCTTTATTCATGAGTCAGAAACCATGTGAGTCTCTGTCCAGTAGTCCCGAGATTGTGACTTCCACATACACCCTGTTGGTCTCCTGAGTCCCTGAGTCTCAGAGTCCTCAGAGTCCTCTCAGTCTCATGAGTTCTTCTGAGGTCCATCACACCCGAGATGTGTCTCTCCACAGTCCAGCTTTCGCAATGTGGAGGAAGTCCTGGTCTTTAACAATGGTAAATGAGAAGTGGTGAGTTATTCTGGAGCTCAGACCGGTCCCTCAACCCAATTATCGAATTGCACAGTGACTGAATACCTCAGAATCACTGTTTGTTTTTTTCCTAACGTTTTTAGTGCTCTCTTCTACTCCTCCCTGGCTCTGCAAAAAGCTCGCAGAGACACAAACAGCTGAGGATGATTGTTAGTAGCTACGTGTCGCCTTCCTCTCACCTCAGTCGAAGGAACTCTATGTCCCTAAGGTCACCTGGTCAGAGCTGTGAACACATTCAGGATAGTTGTCCATTTGTGATGTTTATCGTTTCATGTTTATGCTCTAACGAAAAGCACAGCTTGACTAATTTCAACAGAGTATGTCAGATTATCTATCTCGGCACTAAGGGAGCAAAATCCTTTTCTTCACTTTTCCTTCAACATCGAAACAGATCTGTATTCAGCCCCAGTCTGAGACCCTGGACCTGAGACTGGGATGACTGACCCTGGATCTTAGACTTGGACAGACTCATCTTCATCTTACTTGTCTCTGTTTGTATGGAAACGTAATCATCAGCTCCTAGATACCTCAGAGTCTCAATGCTTAGACTCTGATGCCGTGAGACCGGTACATCCAGATCCACCACGTCTTATTGGTCCAGGTTTCCTGTGTTCCAGTTGGTTTTTACTTGGGACTCAGTACTATTGTCCTGGATGCCAAACTCAGTTCTGCTCCTTGCAGATCTGAACTGTCAATCAAGGTACAGAACCTGCGACCTGGACCTGGATCTGGACTCCTGGAATTCGGATCTGGACCCTGGGACGTGGACCTGGACCTGGACCCTGGATCTGGATTCTGTGACCTGCCGACCTGGGACCTGGATCTGGTCTGAGACAATGAATTCTACAGATCATGTTATGATTGAATTCTTACTGTTGTTCTTCCTGTCCTTACTTTCCTTCCCTCCTCCCTCCCCTTCCTTTCCTTCCTCCCCTCTGTGGTTTTCATTATGTTTTCCTGAAGCCTTAACAGAACCCTCAAGTCTTCATCTTGGTGTTTTTCGCTGTATCCGCCTCCCTCCCCTCCTCACTCCTCCCCCTCCTTCCCTCTTCCCTCGCCCTCCCTCGGTCCTCCCCCTCTCCCTTCATAAATCTGGTTCCCTCCTGGACGGGTACTTTCGGCTGCGACGGGAAGAGGAAGAACAGAAAGAGTAAAAGAGACGAGCAGCCGGAAATTCTGTCGTGCTTACGCGTCAAGACAGTAGAGGATATGTGTGCGGCTAGTCCCGGTCTGGTCCTTGGTCTCTGTCCCTGGTTCTGATACCGTCTGTGTGGCCCGGTCCTCCCGTACCACGGATCCTGCAGCACAGCCAGGATCAGAGGCCGTGCAAGCAGGGTGTGAGTCTAATCCCGCTCCCCGACTCGAACCGAGGCTCTGGTCTCCGCGGTTTGTTCTCTGAGAGATAGCTGGGGCGGAACTAAACCAGTACTGAATCTGGATCACACCGAATTAAAAC